GAGCTGATGCAGCAATTAGGAAAAAGCAATCTGAAAAGAAGAATGAGGATGGCATCGGCTCAGCAAGTAACTATAACAAATAGAAAGAGGAGACTCGGAAGGGATTTCACATCTACTGCTGCTTTTAAAACTTAACTATTAAATGTTTTTAATTGAAATAAAATGGCATCACTTCTGTTTTTCCTTTTCTCCTGCCAGATCATCTCAGTTAACCTCCCTCAAATCCCTTTCCTATGTCCCTCGACTCTCAAGTTGGTAGCTTCTTTTTCTTTGACTATATTTTATATACATGCACACAAAAAGGTATAATCACATAATTATATATAACTATATAGTAAATATATAATATAAATTATGTATTAATAATGTTGAGTCTTGTTTTGTTGTTTGTGTATATATGGTTTCCAGGCTGAACCCTCTGTCGTTCTGTATTAGTTAACCAATAAGGAGACTCATGGCTGGGAGAGACCTATTCTCCTCCCTTCAAACAACAGTTGTGTCTGTAGTTCTCTGTCTAGCTGTCTAGCGGTGGGGCCCAGAAAAACCTTTCCCCACTCACATTAGCATATCCATGATGTTGTTGATGCTCTTCTCTTGTTTACAACCCATTTTAAGGAGAGAATGTCCCACAAGGAACTTCCACTGATTACTGCACTGTGTCCAGTTGTAGTTCTCCATGACTGTCTTCAGTTGCCACACTGAAAAGCTCCTTTGATGAGAGGATGATAGCTAACTGTTCTATGAGGTTAAGTATAAGTTTTAGAAGACAATAAGGAGCTATTTTGATCTAGTAAAGTGATGCTGTTAGGTTCTTTCTATGGCCTAAGAAGCTGGCTAGGTTTTCAGGATAAGGCATGGTTTTCTCCTATTGAATGGGCTTTCAATCCAATTAGGCAACTAGGTTGCCACTGAATATATATATATATATATATATATATATATATATATATATATGTATATATATATATAAAGTTATAGAAATTATATAAAAGTTATAAGCCATATAAATTATTTATGTGTATATGTAAAGTTTTTTTTTCCCTTGGCAACTTGCATATTTTCTGGAACCATGAAAGCTGCCCTGCAGGAAAGAGGTTTTCAGATTAAATCCTGCTTGAGTCATCTGAGCCCTGTGTCCTAAGTATGTGGTGTCTTCAGCAATAAATCCCCACCCTCAAGTCCTGAGGGATAAGCAAGGACTATATTAAAATCTATGTGTTTTGGGGAGTTACTGGGACTTCCCTGACCAACTCTTCAAATGTATGATTGTAGTGCCTGGTACTGGCTTTTGCTTGTTTGTTTGTTTTATTCTCTGTAGTTCTTGTGGGGAGAATTGCCAGGCCAGATGGCTTAACTTCCTTTAAAATATATATTAATATATATGTCTGTCTGCCTATCTATTCACTTATATGTTTAGTGTATATTTTTTGGTAAACAGAATATAATATTGCTCCTTTAGAATTCATTGCATAACCTTGGTGTAAATTGTTCCTCATTATCTATTAACCTTCTTTTTTCCTTATTATTCTGCTTCCCACTTTATATTATCAGTGTCCTGTTATCCCCCTCAACCCTATGGTCCCTCTATACTTTACACGTTTCAGTGGTTACCCCAGGTTATATAATTCCATCTGAGGATTTGAAGCCAGTAACCACAGAAGAGACAGAGCGTGAAGCTTTTGTCCTCTGAGTCACTTAAAATCTTCCCTAAGTCCTTTTCCTTGAACCTGCAAATATAGCGATTTCATTTTTCTTTAGCAGTGAATAGTACTGCATTGTATATATTTGCCACATTTTCATTACCTATTTATATATTTAAGGGCATTTAGGTTGTTTCTATTTCCTAGCTGTTGTGAATAGGGATGCTATTAACATTGCTGAGCAAGTGTCTGTGGAATACGATGTCTAGTCATTTGGTCATATTTCCAGGAATTATAGAGCTGGGCCACATTTTATGTTTACTCTCAGATTTGTTTTTGATATTTTTCTATATTGACTTCCAGTGTGGCTGAATCAATTTGCCTTTCTTCCAACAGTGAATGTGGATTTCTCTTTAACTACAACCTCACTAAGCATTTTTTTTCAGTTGTATTGTTAATACTGATTGAGCTGAATTGAAATCTTGAAGTTGTTTTAATTTGCATTTTTCTAGTTGCTAAGGATGATATGCACTTTTTGAGATATTTACTAATCATTTTTATTCTTCTATTGGAAACTTTATATTTAGATCTGTTTCTTTGACTCTTTGTGTTTTCATTTCCTTTAATTTGTTAAAGGTACAGAGCAATTTAAGAGAAAACATACAATATTTATCCTTTGGGTCTGTGATACTCCATTCAGGATAATTGTTTCTAATTATATCCATTTGCTTTCAGAGCTGATAATTTAACTTTTCTTTTTTTTTTACCTTTTTTTGTTTGTTTGTTTATTCAAGTATTCGAAAACACTCTTTCTTTCCACTTCCTCCCCTCCTCCCAAATCCCTCCCGCTCCGCCCACTCCCTCTCCTCCTCCCTCACCATTCCCAAGAGCAGTCAGGGTTTCCTGTCCTGTGGGAAATCCAAGTTCCTCCCCCCCTCCCTCCGGGTCCAGGAAGGTGAGCATCCAAACAGGCCAGGATCCCAAAAAGCCAGTCCATGCAGACGAAACAAGACCCAGTGCCATTGTCAATGGCTTCTCAGTCTTCAATTGGACCTCGGGGGCTCAGTCAGCCCCCATGTCAGCCACATTCAGAGAATCCGGTTTGATCAAATGCTCGTTCAGTCCCAGTCCAGCTGACCTTGGTGAGCTCTCATTTGATCAGTCCCCTTGTATCAGTGGGTGAACGCACCCTTCGCGGTCCTGACTTCCAGTGCTCCAATGTGGGTCTCCATCTCTATCTCCATCCATCGTCGGATGAGGGCCCCCTTTGATTTTGCTTTCCTTGCTCATGATCTCCCTCCCTCTGCTTCTCATTTGAACCTAGGGAGTTAGGTCCAGTGTTCCAATATGTGTCTCTGTCTCTCTCTCCATCCATTGCCATATGAAGGTTCTGTGGTGACCTGCAAAATATTCGTCAGGATGGTTATGGGCCAAGGCCAGTTCAGGCACCCTCTCCTCTGCTGCCCAGAGTACAATCTGGGGACCTCTCCTTGGGCCTGAGAACCCCTCCAGAATCAAGTCTCTTGCAAACCCTAAAATGGCTCCCTTAGTTGAGATATAAACTTCCCTGCTCCCAGAACCATCCTTCCTCCCTCCCCCCTCCCATTCCCCCAAGCTAATTTAACTTTTCTTGAAGTCACCATGTAATGGGGGAGACAACTCTCCAACTCTCCAATTTATGGTACCAAGTGAAATTTCCAGTGCCATGAATGGATTATAAATTGTTGAGTCCTTGACCAAAGGTGTCCTACAGATGACCGTCTGCCCAAACATTCCAAGTTATTGCCAAGGCTATTGGTTAGTCTCTATAACCTGATGGTAAGGGCCTATTTTTGATTATGCCATTGAACATGAAGAAATTTAGCTGATGAAGCTTTACCCTTGCTACCTAGCATTCATGGGGATGATGGTGCCTCTGGAATTCTACCGGAGGAGAAAAGTAATCATTAATTTCACCAAGATACAAACCTTGCAACTCGAAATAGGCACTCGCCTGTAAGATATGCTAGAGGGACAGTTGTGACACAAAAGATCTGAAGGTATCCAAAGATATTCTGATTGTATTGAAGGCCCATCCTATGAGTTGGAATTCATATTGGACATTGCTAAAGTAGCCAAGGACCTGAGGATTAAATAGCTTGCAGACCCTAGGGGAAAATATACTGTTATTATTCTTGTAAAAGAACAATAACAATGAAGTGACTCCTAATGGTACACTGCTGTATCCATAAATCAGTTCATCACTCAAGGCTCAGCAGAATTTACAGTAGGTAGAAATTAACGTAGACATCCACACTTTGACTGTATGGGGAGTAGGCAACTTTGGAACACTCAGCATTGATTGGGATATTTTCATCAAACTCCTCCCTCAAGGCTCAGGGATCTAACATACATTTTACAATAGCCAGACATAGTAGATGACCTCAAGATAATAGCATCTACCAGACACAACAGGGTTGACACACTTGTGACTTCATAGACACTGTGGCAGTGTATGTAAAACTGTGCAAGTTAAATCAGTCAAAATCCTAGCATAGATAAGTGGACACAAAATTCCAACCTAACCAAGATACTATTTATAATTGGTACCTGTTCAACTCATAGTTCAAGATTTAGAGGCCGGTATGATGAAACTCTTATTGCTGGAGGGATATTTTGAGAGACCTGACACAACCCAGGACATCATATAGCAAGAGGAATACGTACTAGGTCAATGCTTAACAGGAGTGTAGTGTCGAACCTAGGAGGCAAACCATTTACTCTCAGTTCATTATTCTATGGGTGAATGTAAATCTACTCACAACGGCAGAACTCATAAAGTTTGATATTAACATTTACACCTTATTTCATCTCATACCACCTCCCATTGTAAATTAAATTTAGAAGTTTTGGTCGTGACATTCAAATTATGGCATCCAGGTTCTGAGGACAGGAAGACTTGGTAGAAGAGGAGAGAGGGAATGCCTTAGTGTTTCTGTTGCTGTGAAAAGACACCACAAACATCGCAACTCTCATAAAGGAAAACATTTAATTAGGTGGATTACAATTCAGAGGTTTAGTCCATTATCATCATGGCAGGTGGCCGGAGAAGCAGGAGAGAGTTCTACAGCTTGATCTGTAGGTAACAGGCAATCTGTAACACTGGGCATTAGTTTAAGCATAGAAGGCATCAAAGCCCTCTCCCATAGTGACACACTTTCTTCAACAAGGCCATTTCTACTCCAACAAGGACATACATCCTAATAGTGCCCCTCCCATTGGGGGGCATTCCTTTCAAACCACCACAGAAAGACAATGAGTATCATCATGAGCAATTAAGTGCAGTGAATACAGAAACACAGTCATTATCCACATACTTACAGACAAGGGAGGAGATTGTGCAGTGGGTCTGAGAAACGAGCAGACACAGAGCATGCTTTCCAATTACTGTTGACTCTCTTTCCTTCTTTAGCTGCTCCCAAGTGTGTATAGTTCTTGCTAAATCAATTGCAATGTTGAAAAAAGTTGTATGAAAAAATAATAGCAAAACAATGACTTATAATTAGTGAGGCTAACAGCTTCATGTAAGCAAAATGAACAATTTCCAGGGCTTTTATGTACTGCCACCAATGCACTAAAAGAATTATGATTATGCATTTGTTCTAGAAAGTGAATGGAAGGTGTTAAATTGCTTAGCTTTATTACAAATGAAAGAGTTGCTTGGTCATTAACATCAAGGCATTCATTTCATAAAAGAGTATTAGCTAATGTCTTGTCATAAAGTAGGACAGATTAAAATTTAAAAAGATGGAGCACTAAGAGTTTTTTCAGGCTAAGCAAATCTTTGCCTTTTCCAAACTTGGTTCAAGTGAAAATAATTTTAGGGCATTTTCAGTGCCAGGCTCATGGCTGACTCTACAAGATAATGCAAGAGTTTGTCCCTTGGTTATGTGCATGATGAATGGAGCTTGGTCCAGTCATGTCCCAGTAACAATGTTTTAATGAGAAAGGAATATTACATTGATGAAAAATTTGTTCCTTTTAAAGTTTTTTTTGTATAAATCTAGAAGTCCATAAATGTTTTAAAAAGTACAATGCTGATATATTTGACTATCTATAGAATAGTGGAGTTAATTTGAAGTTTGGCTAAAATGTTAAAACTAAGAAGCAAAGCTAAAATACAAAACCAAAAAAAAACAATAAAAATCAAAGAGACTTAGAACATATCTAGTTAACTCATTTTGGACGTGAAACATATGAATAACATATGTGGTCATATTAATGAGAAGGATCTAGTGCTTCCTAAGGTATTACTTATAATTGCTCCATGTGATTAGTATTTATTACTGATCAACTTTCATACTTTTGAATGTGAATTTTGACATTTACTTTGTATGCATATCTTATTTTAAGAAAGAATTGGAAATTGCAAACATCTTGACTCATTCATTTTTGAAGACCTTACCATGATTGGCAGATAACACTCAATCAACAATTGTAAAGCAGATGGAAACATGTTGAAAAGTATTAAGTAGTAAAACTGTCTTCTTCTTGATATATTTACAAATGATTTTGTCATTTAGCTCTTTCCTGTGAAATGTTATGAATGTTCAAAAGTCTTCAAAATGTGATTTTAGGCAGTATGCATAAGTTTGACATATAACCACTGATTCCAGTATTTACATTGACAGCTATAGAAAAGATTTTCAACAGGATCGGTAAAAACATATTATGTCATGTATTTTTAAAGTAACCAACACTGATAGGAATTTAAACAAATTAACCAGTAATGATTTCACAGAAGTGAAGTATTTCTTTCACAAAAGAATCTTCAGCCAGCTGAGATGAGAAACTTTCCCAAGACCATTTTATTTTTCTTTCTTTCTTCTTTCTTTCTTTCTTTCTTTCTTTCTTTCTTTCTTTCTTTCTTTCTTTCTTTCTCTCTCTCTCTCTCTCTCTCTCTCTCTCTCTTTCTCTCTCTCTTTTAAATTTATTTATTTGTTTATTTATAAAAATTTCCACTTTATCACAGTGCACTTTAGCTCCCTGGAGCATTTGTTTACTGATTACACAAGACATGCCTTCCTCCTATGTGTTGGTGAGTTGGTGTTATCTGTGCAGCTTGTTCAGTGCGCTCCCTTCAAATGCTCCTGAACTTCCCTTGCCTCCGCCCTCAGCACTGAGGCTGCAGATGCTTGCCTTTGCACACAGCTTCTGCCTAGGTGGCTGGGCATCATAATTCAGGTAGATTTGGAGGCACAGCAAGCACTTTACTCATTAGCTATCTCTCTAGTTCCTAAACTGGAGCTTTTATGTGCAAAAATAGTGTGCAAGTGCCTCAGCACCTCCTCTCTGCCTGCAGCAGGCTCAGTCGAAGCAGCCTGCCGGGAACCTTTAGAAGCAAGAAGGGTGGAGATGGGGAAGAGTCACCTTTTCCTTCAGGTATTCCATCATTATTTCAGGCAACACCAGTGTCAATCAGAAGGTGATGCCTCATGATGTGTAAAAAGGCAAGAACAATTCATGTCTTGGCCAGGTTAGTCATGCTGTGTGCATTACGAATAGTTTTAACATACCAAGATTACTAACTACATGCATATGTATATGTATGATGCATATTTGCAAGTATATTTATCTGAGTTTGCAAGACAAGCCCCAGCAGAGGCAATGCCATAAAGGGATGCTGGCTGCTTCCCAGGTGTTTTCTATGCCATCTGAAGCCTAGCAACTTCCTGAAAAGAGAATTAAAGGAATGTCATTTTACAAAGAAATTTTAGGGAGAACTGTGATTTTTTTTTTAAGAAACATATCTCTGAATTTATCTGAAGCAAATCTTGCATTCTAAAAGCGTTTCCAACTTTATATTTGAATGATAGAATGATACATTTTGTTTTGAGTTTTTGAGATCACAGTATTTTTGTCTTCCCTTTCTTACCTTCAAACCCTCTCAATACCTTTCACTATCCTTCATCAAATTTATGGTCTCTTTTTTTCACTAATATTTCTTTAACACATATACTTTTGTTTGTATACATATATATTCTTAAATACGACTTGTTTAGTCCATAAAAGGTTACTTCTGTGGATATTTTCAGGACTGACAGTTTGGCATTGGAAAACCAATTGCGCTCTTCCATGTGGGTAACCACTTCTGTTCCTAGCTTTCTTCATTTTTCTCTATTTCTTTGTATAGGGTCAAGACCTTGTAGGCTTTTCCTCATCTACTTTGGCATGTCCTTTGGTGTCATTCTGGTTCAGTTCACACTTGGGCAGTCATGCTGGTATATTTTTATGGATGTGGCTCAGACATGGATAACACTCCTCAACAGCATTGAGACTCAGGTTTCTTTTGTATAATCACTCTATTTCTTTTCTTGCTTGGAATATCTGCTAATTTACTTTCAATTCTTAGACTTCTCAATCTAAATGTATGAGATGATAAAATTTGGTGGCAATGAGACTAGCGCATATTGGATGAATATTCTGTGAAAAGAATTCCAATGTGTATTGTTATTTTCAATTTTTGACTAATTAAAAATTATGAACAGAAATGCCAATAATTGGTAGTATAAAGATTTTCAAGATTTTTTTCTCCTGTGCAATAGACCTGCAGAACAATCTCTGGGTATAGTTGGGAAGCTGTATGTAAAAAGAGGTGTGATTAGTGAAGACAGGAGACAAAAGCTACTGTACGTTCAAGGAGTCCAGCCTCCTTAGGTATATAGGTAGAAAGTTTATTGACTGGAGTCAAACAAAACAAAGGTGATTGCAAGTACAGACAAACGTAAGGATGTATTATGACAAGAGCAAGCAAAAGGAATATTGTAATACATAGTGAAACAGCAAGGAGATCTAACTCTATCTGCTCTCATCCAGGCTTCATCAACAAGGGCTTTACTTTAACAGGGTACAAAGCAAGACTGGGATCAACCAGTCTTAGAAGATAAGGAAAAGTGGTTTTATCTGACCACAGACTTGATAGTGTTGACCACTATCACTTTATTCTTCAAAGTAGCCAAGAGTGAGCTATGTATGCAGGTGGAGCCAGTTAGGAAGCCTGAGGGAAGGAGAGAATTATGGAAACAAAGTTTGGTTAATAAGCATTGTTTTTTTCAATGACTAATCATTTGGACATAGATGATGCACAGAACTGATGCTTGGATGGTCTGGGATAGATAACAGAGTGTGTGTGATTACAGTTAATGTTTTTCTGGGGGAAGTATGTTTTCAATAAGTCATTTCTAGAAGGAGAAATGAAAGATGTCTTAATCTTCACCATATATGTCCACCCACCTACCCCAGTATCACAGGGTTCTGACAGTAGGAGGTAGTGTAGAAGAGTGGGCATTGGTGATAGAATTCTGAGGATTAATCTTAGGTTCTAGAGGCACAGCAAAGAGCTCAAAACAAGGAAATCTAAGAGTGCCAGTTGCCCATCAAAATGCCTGCATAAGGATGTTTACCTTAGGCAGCAGGATCTCAGGATTGGGCTGGGATTCAAACCTCAGAGAGAGGGTACAGAGACCTGTTCAAACTCCAAATTTTGAAGCGTGTGTGGGGAAGACACTACTTTCTAAAATAATATAGAATTTCCACTTAGAGCATCCAAGTATAGCTGAATTAAGAAATCAGATGTAAGATTGAAAGCAGGGACTTTTCTGCTTTCCAGTGGGTGAGAATGACCATAGACTCTGTATCTCAAAAGTGGTTCAGCTCTTGTAGGCTAGGGGACATGGTGGTATGCACAAACAAGAGAGCAGGCAGATCCTGGCACATACTATATTTAAAAGGAGGGTCTATTATTAAAGAAAACTGACTTATTTTCAGCTTGAATAATAGCCTCATGTATCTTGGACCTCTGTCGTTTCCCTGAAATTTCTTTTTGTTTTGTAGGTCAGTTTTCTGAGTCTCATATGGGAAAACGCATAGTTAAATTTAGGAAGAAAATAGAATATAAATAGCTATTTTAGAGGATTGTAAGGGTTGAAAAATTACATGTCAAAATTGAGAATGTAAAAGTTAGATTCTGTGTTTCTTTACTTTAAATTTCTTTTCTATTTTTCCTGTGTTGATAGCATTAATATAAATATTGAATTATATTTTCTTTCAAATCTTGAATATAGTGTTTATATGCAACACAGACTTTGGCAAATGAATTGCATGTGGTTCATAATTTATTTTCTATGGGCAATTTTAAATTTATTTAAATATCCAAGAAGTACTCATAATATATAAATATAAATGCAATGAGATGGAAAAACTTGGTTTTATATTATTATTTCAGAAGAATATTGTGAAAGTTTTGTGTATAGGAAGAAAACATTATGTTCCTGATCCTGCATATTAAAGCTCCCAAGGATGAATTCAGACACTCCAATAACCTCAGAACTGCCCTCTATAGTTGGTCTAGTCAACCTTGAAATATTGCATTCAAATTCCAAATGTATGTAAAAAGGCATATGGCTGTTCTTTAGATTTCTCATCTGAATGCTCGCTCATATTGTGTCATTTATTTATAACAGTGCTTAAATCCTTAATGTGGTATTCTATATTAAGCATACATTTCTTTATCAGCATAAAATCTTAGAGGATGGAGCTTGTCTTTCAGTATCTTTGACAACCCTATAGATCTAGATATGGTGCCATACGATGAGTGTTAATTGATGCACATATGTATGCAATAAAAATTAGTGAAAAAGAGGTCATGAAAGCTTGAGGGGTATATGGTAGGGTCCAGCGGAAAAAGGAAAGTGTTGCACTTGCATTATAATCTCAAACAATAAATAAACACACTTAAAATGAAAAGACTAGGCAACTGAAAACATGTGTGTTGTTAAAAAATTTAAATCGAACATTATCCCATTGAAGATTGCACATTTCAAAAAAAGTTAAAATTTTGTATAATTCAGGCCTTACAACATGTTTAGACATTTGCATGTGGTTCAAATGCCATCTAAGGATTTTTTTCCCTTAGATCCCGAACAAGGCTTGCTCTATGCCCTGTGACTTTTTTCAAGCCTAACTTTCCCTTCATGTTATAGTTAAAGGAGCTTTCCAAGAAGAGAGATGCTGATTCTCTATCATAAACTTTAGATTCACTCCCACAAGTTCCTCATTTTTAAGTCATCCTTAATCTTGGGATGTGCCATAAAGAACCTTCCTTCACACTGTTTGCTCCTTGTATTCCATGGTGAATTGCATATGACATATCTGAAGCTCCCTAGGTTAGTTTTCTAGTATCATTTTTGTACCTTTAGTTTGGCATAATCTTACTGCCACTCAGCATTAGTTGTTCATAGATCCTTCTTGTCTACCAAACTGTACAAATTATTCTTGAGGATGGATGGTGCAATGTTCTTATTTGTCTGCCCAGGATTTCCCCCTGTACAGTACCCATTGATAATGTATCAATAGTACTCATTAAATTAATTAGTAAAAATTTGCTTCAATAATTTTTTATTCTGTAGAATAAGAAACAATGATTTTTAGAAATATATGCTTTTAGGAATATTTTTCATTACTGGGAATCACAACTCAACAGATATAAATGTCCCTTAGATCTATTGCTCTTACTTAATATATATGTAAAATTTTAAATTCTGAATCATCATTATGGTTTGAATATGGCCTCCCAAGTTCATCTATAGGAAACATGGTCCCAGTATGTGTCAGGTAGAGGTATAGAACCTCTGAGAGATGAAGTGCAGAAGGAGTTCATTAGGTTGTTGAAGAGTCTGCTCTAAGGCCAGTCCTCAACAATGGGACCTGTGTTAGATCCCAAAGGGACAATTCATTGTACAGAAGCAATGCATTGTTTCTTAATCTTTCTTCCTTCCCATATTACCATGCAATCTATCTTTCCGGGATGTGCTCAATCACATGCCACTTGCCATAAAATCCCATACCCTTAACACCTACAACTCGCGATCAAATAAGCTTTCCTTTTATGTACTCAACCTCTTTAGCAACAGAAAGTGGAATAAGATGAGGGTATTGATAATCTCATTAGCATATTACTATTGCTATTCACTATACTATCCACCACTTATATACCTTTGAAAACCAAATAACAGTACAAGCACTATGATCATTGCATCATAGAAATGAACAGTGATATATTATGGTCTCTTAGACATGAACTGATGAATATATGTGTATAGGTCTTATTTATCAAAATATATTCATGTAGCTATCACATCTACATAACTACAGAGGTTGATTTTTTAAGGTTATAGTTGATGACAGAAAAAAATATAGCTACTTTAGACACAGTGTTTTGTAGTTAGCTTTGAACTTACAGTCAAAAGTCTAATAAGAATGCTTGATGGGATCAGAAACAAGAATCATTAATTCTTCATGAGTGCATCAGAGAAGTTTCACAAGGAGGTCATTGTAAATGTATTTCTTTGAGGATGACTAAGCCTTTTCCAGGAAGAAGGTACCATTCAGAACCCCAGCACCTAGATCAGAAGGAATGTGGGTAGTCTCAGATACATAAACAAGAATGAGTGTAGAAAGTTAAGGAGAACATCACCACAAAAATAGCAAATATATCCAAATAATTTTCTTTCTTTTTTAAAGTAAAATATTACCAATACTTTAGTGTGTATTTGAATTACCTTTATTTTATTTGATTTTTCAAGACAAGGCTTCTCTGTGTTACAATCCTAGTTGTCCTGAAACTTGTTCTTGTAAACCAGGTTGGCCTTGAACTAATAGAGCTTCACCTACCTCTGTCTCCTAAATGCTGGGATTAAAGGTGTGCTCCACTACCACCTGGCTACCTTTATTTTATTGATGGAAGTATTAAAAATGTAATTTATTACATTAATTAATTAATTAATTAATTTATTAATTTATTCATTAAAATGTACCTGCCAGACAAAGATATTAGAAAAAAGGTTAACATTCATAGCATAAATATAAATTCTTGCAGATTCATTTTAGTTTAGCATTATAACCAATTTTCACAAAATAGAATATTTGAGTATATTTTATTAATCCAATAATTTCATTACCATTAGTTAATATTGTTTCTATTTTCCACTTGATTTAGATTTTTTTCAAGGATATTGCCCAAATCATAGAGCACTAAATAAAATTTGTACATATTTCTTTTGGAAACAAAATTTGTGGGTTTCTTTCATGTAAATGACTACTCATTTTTAAAGATTATAATTGCATTCTCCTGGTAATGAATGCATTAAAACTAAAGCGCATTCATATTGTTTAATCTTATTTTTCCTTCTTGGTATTCCTTGCCAGTGTTCAGCTCCTAATAATTAAAAAAAAAAATATTGGGTTGGTGTAAGTGCAACAGTGCAACCACAGAACTTGTCAGAGCTGGCTGAGGCATGAGGAGCGTGGCTGATATTTTGACACGTTGCTTTGCAAGTGAAGAGGAAACCTTCAAATGAATAGACACTCCCCATAGTGTGGATTTCAAGGAGGCTTATTTTCAAATTTTTTTTTCTATTTTAAATTAAGCCATGACTATTCATAGTTAGGAGAGTTGCCTTGGCATTTCATATACCGTCTACTTGTTCAGAACTGTTCATCCGCACAACCATAACTGAGTTGAACCGCATAGCTGGGTTGGAATAAACCATGCACTACAGAAATAATTTAGGTTTGTCATCGAAATTTCCATAATAGTAATTTCTCCCTTGCCAAAACATTGTTTCTGAAAGATAAGCACTTTTTTTTTCTTATGACGTATACATGTGTAGTCAAAACTTTTGGCTGTGAAAGCTTGGTCTTTAGTTTAGGCTTGTTTTTAACTAGCTCTTATAACTTAGTTAACTAACATTTTTAAATCTTTAAACTTTGGTGCATTATTCTGTTCTCACATGGCACACATATTTTGCCTAGAATGTTGTCGCCTTTGCCCTTATGTATTTTTATGGTGTTATTTCATTCTAGTCACTGTGATTCAATGCCTACCAATTCTTCTATTTTGCCTAACCACTATTCCTATGCATTCTCTACTTCCAGGGCATTTTCTGTTTCTAATGACAGAACCTCAGAGCAAGAGCATTTATCTGTTTTCCTTAGGGGATTCTGTACCTTATAAGGTAGCAATCAAATATTTATTAAATGAATGAGAAGATAAAATAATATGATAATTAGGATGTTGATATTCTCTGTATCAACTAGCTGAAGAATCTTAATTTATTTTAACCTTTATAGGTTACATAATACATTTTGTAACCAATGTAGTCTATAATTCTGTAACTATTTTATTGTTATAAAGCAAAATATTACCGAATATAGTTTTGCCTCAGTATGGTTGGTGCATTGACTCCAGAAATTTCTGTGGATGAAAAAATTTTCAAATAGTCAAATCTCTCATGAAATAGTGCAGCATTTGCATATAACTTACACACATACTCCTGTGCACTTCTATTTCTATATTACTATAGAATCATTTCTATATTACTTAGCACAAATGAAATGCTTCTGCATTGTAAGTAATTGTTATGTTATAGAGTTTCTGAGGAATAATGGCAAGGGAAAACAGTCTAGGGGCTGGAAAAATTGATCAGTAGGTAGGAGATTTACTACCAAAGTGTGCGGTACAGAGTTGACCTAACCAGAATCCACATACCCACATATCTACTACAACAGCCTGTCTGTAATTCTAGAACCCAGGAGATAGAGACATGGAATTCCTGGAGCAAGCTAATTAACTAGAGAAGAAAGTTGACAAACTTTGGCTTAAAATAATAAACTCTCCCTCAATGTGTTAGGTGGAGGATGGTTAAGAAAGACCCCCCAACACACACAAGGCTGCACAGCTTCAAGCCAGACTAACCTCCATCACTGAGAGAGGGAAGTGAACACCCATAACCTACGCCATATCTGTAATTGGTGCCCACTTGCAAAAGAAAAGAGTCTTCTTCCCAAGAAAATTCACTGGATTTAATTATACTTCAGAATAGACCCAGGCTCAGTAGTAGTTTGAGACTACTACTACTGAGGCTATTAACACAAAATGAATATGAACTCAATGGTATTTTTGTAGATTGTTGTCTCATGCTGCTTTGTTGGGACATTTTTAAAATTTTATCTTTTCGGTTTTTTGCTCATGTATTTTGGTTTTGTATTTGTGTCTGTCTTTCTGTGTTTGTGAGTTAAAGGGTGTGTGTATGTGTGTGAGTTTTCTGACATATTTTGGTTTTTAGAGAGTTAGGTGGACAAGAATGATCAGAATATATTATATGAAAAATATTTTTCATTAAGAAAAGAAAGGAAAACAATAAATACAAATCAGCTCAAAGGAAAAAAAATCAACATTACTCTTAGCCTCTGCATGAACACACACACACACACACACGCATTTCTTTTACATATACATACATCCTCACACATACACTCACAGTCAAAAACATACATGCACATTTACATACAAAGATGCAAACACATACAAACACAAAGAACACAGATATACACAAATTCTCTCTCCTACACACACACACATAAAACCACATGTGTCCCACACATCCATTCCTGCATATTATATTTTTACATATAATATATTCTGATCACTCGTTCCCACACAACTGTTTCTCTATTTTAAAAAAATATGCACTCATTCTCATTCAAAAACATAGAAAGACAAACACACATACATACCCATACATGCACATACACAAAAAAATCCCATAGAGAATCCAAAGTTGAAATCAAAATATACCAGCAATATGCAAATAATGTACATACACACAGATAGAAATAAATATATATGTTTAATGAGGATGCAGTATTTTGTACCAATTTTCAATTTTTAGCCAAATCAGTGGGTATGGAACTTAAAACATGGAATGTCAGGTGAAATGTGTTTCCGTAGAAAAATATTAGAGAAAAGATAACAGTAAAATGTTATCAAAAAAGATATCAATCTAATTTCATAAAGAAGTCCTAATTACGATAATTAATGAGAATAAACAAAAAGCATCTTTAAAACACATTTCCTTGTATTCCCCAAGGAGAAAGAGCTAAATGAGTGGTGGCATCTGCTGGTTTTAATCTGAGAAATTGACTTGGAAGAAACTTACAGGGATACCTAAAGTTAGAAATTATTGCAAATGAGATTATTATGAAGTTTGGCATCAGTGCCATACCTATGATTCTCGTGGAGCAGCGGAAGGGCACCAAACCTCAAAAACTTTAATATTAAAGTTGTAGTGTCATTCTAGATAGCTACTGGGTGACAGTTAGCTGCTGGAAGATTTTGGGGAGGGATGTGTTTGAGTCAATTTAATATCACTGTACACTGTAAGCTACAGACCATAATAATATTCCCTTTGGCAGGTCAGCTTTTCCAGATATTAAAAAGAATTATTTCCCAGCCTAACAGAGAACTAGCGCCCCTGTCCCTTCTCCACGTGTCTGGTTGTCAGTGGGTCAAAGGTGAAGAATCTTCAGGATTGTGTGATAACTTTGGAGGTGAAATTAAGCTACCAGGTGCTCTTATTGATTGATAGTCATAATGGTTTGTTTCTGTGTGTTTTATTTTTAATAATATAAATAGTCAAAATCCCTCTCTCTTCATATATATGTACGTACATACATATACATATATATACTATATTAAATATGAACATTACAATTTACCCCAATTTTTCAATGAACTAATGTCAAGAGAGCATTGAATACAGAGGTAGGCACATTCTAGTCTCTTAAGCACTCTCACTTCCCCTAGCTTCTATAAGCTCCAGTGGCTATATTTCCCTATTTACTTCTATAGGTTTTCTTTCTAGAAATAGATCTTTTTACAAAAAGAATTCTTTTATTTATTCAAGATATAAGATCACCTAATGTATACTCTATGTAGCAGGTATGACTAGGGATCATTTTCCATAATAAAAGGAATTTCAAAAACAGTCTTAGCCATCACCTCCACTGTTTCTGTCTCAAATGCCTTTGTTCTCTATTTAGATTTACTAAATTCTCTTCAAGCTTTCCCAGAATTTCCAATATGCTTTTTTTTAATCAAGTACTTATCTTGGAAGAAATTGATATTTTCTCGACATCCTTGAACACTATATGTGTGTACAACAAGTTTTTTAATAGAGCATTGCTATATATTAAGGCCGGGAGAACATCTGAAGTTATTTTTTACAGTCTCTAAATGTGAATAATGAGAAAACAATGCAAAACATGAATCTGTTAATAAGTTATTCATTGTTGATTTTTATTATAATGTTTCTTTGAATTTCAAATTACAGTTATGATGTGTGAGTGTACTGCAAAGTATGTCCCACCTTATAAAAATCTGGACTGAAAGATCATCAAAAGTGTTCACATAACACTGACATTTGCATTTTCTCAGAAACCAAACCTTTACCAAACAAATAAGCAAACTTTTTTTTTCAAAAATAGAGTTTTTGTGATTTCATAGTAGCCCTTATCAAAAATATCATCCCTAAATTTTATAATGACATCTGGGTTAAGAGAGTTTTCATTCATTCATCTTGCTGTTCTACCTCTGGCATAAGCCAATTATCTTTCTAGAGACTGATTTTGTCAATTCCTTGAGGGTACAATCTAATGCTTCACGCACACATTTCCTGTACCATAAATTTCTACCTCATTGTTTATGCAGAGACTGTTCATTGGTTTTCCTTCCTCAACAAAGAGGTTAGTAAATCATCTTATGCTTAGGGATCTTTCCCACCAGGATTGACTCCGGTGTTCAATGATTCTTTTTGATATTAGGGAGGATAATTTACTACATGCCACACTTTATAACCACTGAAGTTGCAATGAAGGTCTCCAGAATGTGTTAATTATGTGCCAACAGCCAATGTACTTTCTAGTCCTATAAGTAATATCATTTGCTGCCATTTGTTAAAAGAGATTAGGGAGCTCTGGGACTGAGGAAGAGGGTTCCTGGTGAGATGTGAAGAAATGGGATACTTTGCCTGTGCAACACTGGTTTGTGTAGCTATCAAATAGCTTTCAATTGAGAAGATGACTTACAGTAACCAAATGAGACTCAGATGAAATTGTATTATAGATTCAGCGAGGGTTCTTATTAACTGGCTTATATACCCATTACACAATCATTGTGGCAACCCGGTGAAAATGTGGAGAAAGTGGTTATTTCAGAGCACTTATCCGCTGACTCGCTTATCCAGTGTGTCCAGATAAATGAAATCTGACAGGATTCCCAGGAGCGCTGCTGTCAGGGTAGTGATGCTTTTGATTAGAGACCGAAGCAGGCCATCTTCTGAGGCTATTACTTGGATTAGTTCCCAGGGTTGAGAGTTACCACCACAATATCGTTAAGAAGAGATTGTCTTGCCAAGTATTCAAATACAAATAGGACTGTGATTTAATGCTACGGAGTTTAAAAGAATTTGGGAAAGCAACTGCAAATCTCTTCTTTGAAACTGTTCTGACCATGTGGCATAGAAATGGAAGAGATAACAGCTTCGTGAGATAAACTCCAGGCAGGGTGATGTGCCTAGCATGCCAATTCATTATCTCAGAGGGCAGAACTGAGGCTTTGTAGAAATCCTTATCTATTGCATCACTAGACAGGATTTTCCAACTTTAATACCACGTTGCTAACACTATCACTGTATAGATGGAGACGACTGGTAAATTGAAGAGCAAAGATAAGCTTTTCTATACATCTGAAACTTAGTGCCACTTTAAAAAGAAAATTCTTTGATAATAGTAGTATTAAATGACTTAGATTAATCAATTAATCTAGTTGGAGGCAAATATATCCTCACACTGAGACTATATATGTAATAATATTTGAGTAAAATACCACAGGTATAAGAATTCATAAAACTCATTTAGTAGTCATGAAAGTAAAGTATCATTGTATGAAATTCTTGCAACTTCAAATGTGCTCACACACAGCCTCTTGCAATTAGATGATCTTATATAAAAGCACAGGGATTTAAAGAAATCCACAAAATGTGATTTGGTGTTTACTTTTCTTCACCAGGATCAGAAAACTTTGTTAATAAGTAAATAAAGGTGGAACAGAGATATGATGAGGAGATGGATAAAATTCCGGAAAAGGATGAGGGATGATAGAATCTAAAGGTGGTAGAGAAAGGGGTACTGGTTCCAAGGGCAGAATATATGGTCACCGACAAAAAGACACACAGAACCATGTCAATAAAGACCAAGATACATGGCAACAAGTGGGTAACATAGTTGTCTTCTAATCTAAAAATATTCTAACCTGATTTTAATATGCTTGGGTACTTTATAACATAATATGAAGATGGTGTTCAGAGGAATTGTTTGCTATTTTAAGCTGTTTGCTCTAGTAAAAGTGCATTATTA